TTAGCATTTGCCTCACATATTGAGGTGCTCCTATATCTCTCTCCTTCTGTTGGGCCATTAGTATAAGTAGTTGAGCTGGGTTTGGGTCCTATTGTTGCTATTACTACCTTCAGTGCTTCATAGATTCCAAATTTTTCTAATGATAGCATGGGCCTATGTGTGATTACTGGGGTCCCAGAAGGTTTTTCAAGTTTTTCAAAAAGTTTCTGCATCATCCACATTTTTCAGCTATACCTACATGCCTACAATACAGAATTGATCTCTCTTTCCCTACATTCTTGCCCATCACCTAGTGGTAGATTGCTACCACTTGTTACTTAGTTCTTACTGGACTATTAGTGGAGATCAAAGGACTTACTCTGCTGTCCTGGCCAGCTTCAGTTTTAGACTGGTCATGTGTCCTGATGCTAAGGGATGGAGCTTGCTCAACATCCTTGTCCTTCCTTCCAGTGGCAGCCAAACTCTGCCTTGTATATGTGGTGGGTCTAGTGCAGAAATTTTCTGCCCTCTCCCAGTATTAGAAGACCTCTAATGGTACTGGTATAAGACCCTAAGCCCAGGACTATTTTCTGTCCTTCTCCCAAGAGTTGAAAGGCTTTTTTTCTTTTACCTTCTCCACGGTTTTAACAATGGGTCTTTACCTGTGTTCTACAGAAAGAGTTTGCTGCCCATCCCCCAGTGTCACAAAGTTTTTGGTCTACATGAGTGAAGGGTCCAAACCGGGGGCGGCGGGGAGGCCTTCCTGCCTTTCTCAGAGCAGTGGCGGATCCCATCCTCTATGCCTGTAACATCACTGATGGCTTTCTCTGATCTCTTACCCAGCTCCCAGTCTTTCTCATGAGCACTCAGTGGAGGTCCATGGAAAAGGCCATATGAGTGAGTTAAATTCCTCCTAGATCTTAGCTCCAACTAAGATATTACTGATCCATTAACTCTTTAGTTGATTTCCTCTTTCTCACCTGTGTGATAGCTATGCCTTTCTTCTTTGCTCTGTCACAAATGAGGGAGGTTAGGGCATCCTGTCACTCTCTCCTGAGAGGGGCTAGTCTCAACTTGGATTTCCAGGTATTTGGCCACTCCATAACTCCAGCTCTCTAATGGGTTCCAGAAAAGTTTTCATTTTGTAGTTTATCTGTTTTGATTGGGAAGAAGCAATACTCTTTCCAGCTTTCTATACTGTAGACATAAGTAGAAGTATCTCATAGCAATTAGCTTTAAAAAAAAAAAAAGTGCTGTGCATGTATTCACAAGGAAGAAAGACTAAAAAAAAAAAAAAAAGAAAAAAGAAAGAAATTCTCATATAGAAAGGGTGGTTATTAATGTGGTAGACTTTTGGGTCATTTACATTTTTCTTCTATGTGCTATTCTATATCTCTCAAGTTCTTTACAGAGATCTAATTTTATAACTTAAAAAAAAGATCTGCATATATATATATGTGTATTCTATTTTTTAAGTCAAGTGCAAATGATAGAACATTATTTTACCATAGAAATGCCATTTACTTGCTGTTTTTAAAATAAACTTTCAAATAAATTTTGTGTCCTCAGAATTCATACAATTACATATGTATTCAATATCTGTAATCTTTCTCAGTATCCTCTGTTCAATGTAAAAGACAAAATTCTTGCTAGGAAAAGAAATTAAAGTTTGATTTAAGAAAATAATTATGCTTAAAGCTTCATAAGAATCTATCTTTTTCTTATAAATTTATTTGTTTATCTTTGGCTGCGTTGGGTCTTTGTTGCTGTGCGCGGGCTTTCTCTATTTGTGGCGAGCGGGGGCTATTCTTCGTTGTAGTGTGCAGGCTTCTCATTGCAGTGGCTTCTCTTGTTGTGGAGCACGGGTTCTAGGCACATGGGCTTCAGTAGTTGTGGCATGTGGGCTCAGTAGTTGTGGCTTGCGGGCTCTAGAACACAGGCTCAGTAGTTGTGGCACATGGGCTTAGCTGCTCCATAGCATGTGGGATCTTCCCGGACCAGGGATCGAACCCGTGCCCCCCACATTGGCAGGCGGATTCTTAACCACTGCGCCACCATGGAAGTCCCCATAAGAATCTCAATACAGTAGTTTTTCCTGTTTTGAGAGCCTTGTGTTTAAGAAAACTAACTGTTTTTATTCATATTATGTCTTACACCTCATAATATAATCTCCCCACAATGACAGCTAGGATTGCCAAAGTGATTTCTGTCACTCCAGGTTATAATGTAAATGTAGCCCAGGAAATAAGATAAACAGCAATTGAAGAGTAAAAGGCATCTGTAAACCAACCCCTGCCAAACTGAATATTTTTTTTTAAACTGTCAATGTTAAACATATCAAAGGAGTTTTCAGGCAAAAACTTAATATAGTTAAGCAGTAAAAAGACTTCTGAACAATTTACTCAGATTATCCCTTTACCATATTATCTTTCCTCCAAAAAAGGATAGAAGAAGTCATTATGCAATGAACTTGTAATAATTTACATACAGTAACGTACCAAAAAGTACCTTAGAGACCATTCTCTGGTACTAAGTAATTTGATGGTGGTCATTTGAAGGGTAAAAAAGTTTTGGTTTATAATTTCCAAAGATAATCTCATTTCCAAAAGAACATTTCTATGAAATCAATCTCATTTTCAGAGAAAAGAACTAATTAATTACACAAACCCTGTGTTTCATTTTTTTACTTAGTAAGAATGGCTATCAAGCAAGTAACCAAAACTATTTTCCAATTGTCTATTTTCAGAGTTGTGTGGCACACCATACATCCACTCACTTCTTTCTTTCCTTCTTTCTTTCCTGTTCCTTCCTTCCTTCCTTCCTTCCTTCCTCCCTCCCTCCCTCCCCTCCTTCCTTTAAAATTTACTAAGCTGGGTGCAGAGGATATTGTGCTGAACAAAACTTAAAATGTTTCTACCCTTCAAGAGGCCTTTTCTTACATCCTCAATTTGTCTCAGACTTGGTTCTTATTTTGTTGCTGTATATTTTCATCACTTAATAATAATTGCACAGTTCCTCAATTACAGTAGGTACTCTTCGAAGACACGCATTTTCAGCAACTTAATGTCCTTACTACCAAGCACCATCTCACAAATAATAGATTACTCACAATGCATCATGAATAAAACAAATAAATAAACAAAGGAGCTTATAGTCTAGCACACACAGAAACGCATAGATACAATAGGGCAATAAAATCTAAGATGAGCTATAATGACAGTATTCAGAGATTACCGAAGTAGCACAAAGGAGTCAGCAGATCAACTCCATTAGGGGTGGAAGTGGTCAAAAAGCTTCATTCAGCACATGATATTTAAACTGAATCTTTAAAGATGGTTAGAAGTGAGCCAGGAGCTTCAGAAGAGAAGAAATAAATTCAAGTAGAGAGAAAATCATGAGCAAATTAAGAGAGATAAAAAATAGCATGTTATGATCAGAAAATAGCAAACAGGCTGGTATGACTGAAGCATGGGGTGACAGGGAAATTACCCTGAGATATGAATCTGGAAAAGGTACAGGGGACTGGGTCAAGGAATGGGGGAGGAGGCAGATAGACAAATATGTCAGGCTAGAGTATGCCGTGAGAAATCTCTGCAAAGGTGAGAAGAATAAAGTTAAATGATAAGATTTGATTTTAGAAAACTTACTCTAGGGGACATACAGAATAGAATAAGGAAAACGAAAGGACAGATGGTTGGGAAAGTAAAGTTAGAGGTAAAAGAACAATTAGGAGACTACTTAAATAGTCCAAGACAAATATGACTACAACATGAATTAAAGCAGCCATACTGGGAAGAGAAAACTTTAAAGAAAAAAAAAAAAAAAAACTGAAAAAAAGAAATCGATGTAATTTTGTCCTCAATTAGATTTAGAGAGGCTCATTTACAAATGAGTACTGCCCTCATTTGTTACATGGTAATAATTAGTGCTTACCTCAAAGAAATATTATAAATTCTTGAGATAATGCATGTAAAATACTTCACAATATGACTGCCAAAGAATAAGGTTTATAAACATGGCAGTAATTATTTTGTTGATGCTGATGCTGATTGGATTTGAATCCTGGCTTGAATACTTACTCCCTGTGTGACCTTCATGAAGTTACTTAATCTCTCTTTCCCTCACATTCCTCCTCTGTAACAATGGAGTATGCTCCCTAGTACCTCATAGATAAGTACTATTTTGAGTTTTATAGATGTAATAACATATTCATGAAGGGTTCATAAAAATTTAGACCAATATCTGAAACTTTATTTTTAAGAAAAATAGTTATTAATAGAAAATAGGAGTTGAAAATGATTCTCGGATTTCCAATATGGGCGAACGGTGATACTCACTGAGAGGAGGAGGCTCCTTTAAAAAGCCAATCATTCTCCTTCAAATTCTTTAAGATGAATTAAGTGTTCTTCTCAGTGTTTTGCAAGCACACTATACATATTACAACACTCACCATGGTATATTTTAACTGTCTATTTCCATGTCTATTATCCTCAGTAAATACTGATGATATCTAAGGGCAAAAAACTGTCTGTTAATCCTGCATCCCCAAAAAGCAGGATGCATCTGGTACATAAACAGGCTCACTATACGTTAGTGAAATAATTAAAGGAGATATGAATTCCTTTAACAAGTCCAGAGAATATTTGGAAAGAATGGTATTTCCAAAGAATTTTACATGCTACTCCCCTACGGGCCTTAAATTTTCATCAAACAGAATGTAAAAAATAGTATATTATACTACTCTTTTCTAGTGAATTCTCACTAGATAGTGTTGAAATGCAAATCTGTAAAGAAAATAGCAGAGAATAAAGTAAATAATATAAACAAAAAGAAATTATTCAAGAGTTTCCAACTTTCCCTTTCACCATGACCATATAAATATAGCAGTGCCACACTGTAAAGGGCTAATATTAAGACTTTCAAAATAAGAGCTAAGGGAACATCAAAAGTATTCCAGAATATTTATGTATATGGAGCCATAATCTCACTATCTGTTGTATTTCCATTGTTTCATACTATACCTTAGATGAAGATCTTCTGAAAACTTCAGACAGGCGTAGATAAATTCTTTAATTTGATTGTAAACTTTTGGCACAAATTCAGAGAATGGAAACTTTTTTGGAAATGGTTGCTGTAAAAGCAGGAATTAATGAAAGCCAAGTCACAAACCAACATACATTGAAAATACTAATAAATTAATTAAAATGCAAAGGAAATTTTCTTCCACACTGTGAACTGCTTGCTTAATAATCTCAAACTAAAAGAAATATATTTGTGAAAGTTTTCTGATACTAAAAAGAATAAGATTAAATAAACAATAATTCAAATGTCCTCCAAAACCTGATAAATTGTGATACATTTTCAGCAATAAAAAGTAATGAGTTACTGATACATGCAACAACTTAGATGAATCTCAAAAGCATTATGTTCAGTGAAAGAAGCCAGTCTCAAAAGGTTACATACTATATGATTCCATTTATAAGGCATTCTAGAAAAGGCAAAAGTGATGGATAGCAACAAGACTGGTGGTTGGCAAAGGCTGGGGGTTAGAGGAGGAACTGATTAAGAAGGTGTAGCATGAGGGAATTTTTTGGAATCATGGAACTGTCCTGTATCATTATTGTGGTAGCACATACATGACTCAATGCATTGTCAAAACCAATACAGTTATATAGTATGGTAAATTCTACTGTATGTTTTGGGGATAAAATGTCCTAAAAGTATAATAAAAGAAAGTATTTGAAAGTGTAAGCCAAAATGGAACACTTCCAGAAATCCCCCAAACACTTCAGAGGTGACAATACCCCAAAGCCATTTACTGATTCCCCAAACAGGAACTTCTGCTCTTCTAAGCCCTTCTAAGCCCAAAAATCATCCTTTGAAGGTGTTTTAGATTTCTAACCCATTGAGTTAGAAGTTATGCCTTTAACGAGACTGATACAAAGAAAGCTTTAAGGGGATGCCAAATCAGAGAAGTTTATTTTAAAGTGTTCCTTACCTTTTCCAGCTCTGTATCTTGGAATGGGAATTGTCCTACCACCTTTTTATATATCTCTTCACTTGTTACTGGTATAGGACTGTAGTTGTCAGAATCAAGTATGTTTCTATAAAGAAAATACAGAAGACAGGAAGGGAGGAGGTAAAAAGGAAAGAAGGGTTAGTTAATCACTACAGTGATCACAAATAATTTTCAGATGAGCTCCAAGGGTTGTATATCCACCTCAACCCAAAATAAATATTTCCCAGTCCCTAATCTATTCCTTTTATAATACAGCTATTTGGTCTCAGGTAAGGACATCTTTAAAAAAAAAAAAAAAAGACAGAAGGAAAATTACATTCTAAAACAAATGGAACACAATTATAAACATGACCTCATAGTATTTGAGATTTACAGGTCAGACAGAAAATTTTAAGGCAACATGTTGAAGCCTTAAGGCAAGTGAGAAGTAAATAATAAAAGAATGTGAGCTCTGGAGAAGGCAAAGAGGTTTTATTTGCTTTTATTAAAAAATAAGACATTTTTGATTATGTTCTTTAATTCTGTACTAGATCTAACTTTCAAAACTGGCAGATGAGGAGAAGCAAGTTCTATAATAAATCCAAATTATGTTCATTTACTTCATCTACTGCTCTATATTAAGAATGACTTTTTCTTCATCCATAGGTTTCGCCTCCTTAACTGGACTGGGGGTTCTCTAAAAGCAGAGACCATACTACCAAAATCAAAAAAGAAATTTACTGAAGGCATCAGATCAGACGCTCTTAAAACCATGGATATATCATGTTACTAATTTTCAAGAGATAATCCTCCTCTAAATAAAACTGTATCATTAATAAACTGGGCTTTTAGAAACACAAATGCTTATATTAATATATAAATGAGTTGCACTACATAATTATCAGAGACATGTTCATAAAATGTGAAGAGTAAGATTAAAGGGACAATGTAATATCTTAAAGCTATACGAACCTGAAAGTAGGGAAAGCTGATCTGGGGAAGAGGTCTTACAGTAAGCAGAAAGATCACTTTAAGGAGTAAAGGTGCAAAAGGAGAAGAAACAAGTGAGCTGACATGAGTTGTGTGCCAGGAAAACAGTGCAAGGAAACATTTGTAAGTGGAGGTGTAATACAATAATTTTCTTATTGTTGTATGCATGTTGCAGTAACTATTTAAATAATATGCTTCAAATACTGGATTGTAATAAATCTCTTCTCTGGGTATAAGAGAATAAAGATGATGAGGAATCACGTGAGTGAGTCTTTAAAAAAGTTCCAAAAAAACTAAATTACTTGAAAGGGCTCAAAAGCCACTACCTTACAAGTGAGACATAGACTGGGCATGATCCTCAAAGAGAAAATCAAAAAACAGATTAAGAAGACACAAGGTGATCTGGTTGGTATGAACCAAGGTATATGACGTTCATTCAAGGAAACAAAAAAGCCAAAATGGGATCTGGGGACTCCTCACATAGTAGGTACTAATATACTGAGACTGGATATCTCGGGAACTTTATTTGGGACACCACTACACCTTATTTGAATTCTTAATCATAACTGGGATCAGAGCTAGAAAAAATAAGCCACATATACTTGTTGCTTATTACATCTGAAAAACCTTATGTATAAAGACGTGTGTACACACATGCATGCACACACGTGCGTGCGCACACACACACAACTATAGACAATTTCTCACCTGAAAATACCTGACCACTTCTTTAGCAAAGTTTCACTATATTGATCTCTGATTTCTAACAGCATGTCAAAAAGCTGATTTACAGGAAAACCATACACCTGAAACAAAATAAGAAAATAGCTTCATTTCATAAGGTGATTTTTTTAAGCAACATGAGAGATTAGGCACTGAAAGATATTTTTGTTCTTTGGCCAACAATTTAAATAAAACCATGATAAGAAAAATCTTTCATTCCCACCTAATATCTAGTGTTCATTCTTAAGAATTAAAAGATATATACCAATATAAGCCAGTCAGAAAAAAATTAAAAGATGAACATTAAAATTAATATATACTGGGTATAAATGTCAGCTAAGTTTTCCCTACAACTCCTTCTGTAAATCTTAGCAGCCTTCAGGAATAGGGAGAGAAAATGAGAATGCTACCAATCTCACCCACTTCTAATGCTATTCTATTGGATATAATATGTGGTTCATTATTTAAAACAGTAGTTATGAAACTCCAAAATCACTCAGACATTAGATCTGAATTAAGGACATTTTGAAGAACTAAGGTAGTGAGTTCAATTAATTGATTTGCCTTGAGAAAAAAAGGGGGATGAGAACAATTTATGAGAACATAAACGGTCAAGGTGATGAGCAGGAAATGCTACAAAGAGATAAAAAGTTCTAGCTCTAGGAAAAGAAGAAACACAACTAAAAACTAAAAGTTACTTACTCAAGCTTAGATAGACAATGAAAAGATTTAGAGATGATGAAACACTCTTCTAGATAAGTCTGTGTAAACATAAACCACAAACCTGAAGTGTGTCAGCAAAAAGCACAATGAGGTTCTTCAAATCTAACACGAGGTTTGGATCAGAGCAGTAAGACTAAAGGAAATAAAAGACAATGAGAAAAAACGCATTTATCAAAAATAAAAGTAAATTTTGATTTACTCAACTGCTTAATGCTGCACCTGGTAAACGCTCTCTGGAAAACCTTCCTGGTTTAAAGGAACACCAGATTCAGCCAGGGAAGAGTGAGTAAAGACTCCAATAATCCATGATCTACATTTTTAACACTTGGAAATTTTAAAACACACTTCTAAATAACTGTTTGGTTAAAGAAGAAATCAAAATTGATATTGCAGATTATTTAAAAATGAACAGCAATGAAATAGTTCAAATCAAAACCTATAGAATGCAGCTAACACCATTTTAAAAACAAATTACATCTTTATATGTGAACATTAGAAAACATAAAAGGTTTAAAATAAACAAACTAACCACTCAACTCATGAAGCTAGGCCAAAAAAGCCAAAATAAACCATAAATGAGAGAAAACTGATAAAATAAAAAGCAGACATTAATGACATAGAGAAGACATGAAAGATTTGATCAATGAAACCAAAAGCTCAAGTTAAACATAAAATCAATAAAATAGACAAATCACAGTTAAGTCCAATTAAACAACAAAGAGAAAACAAAACTAAACAATACAGAGGAAAATACAAATTACAAAAAGTCCATGTATAATCTCTTATCAACAAATTTGAAAACTGAAATGACATTGAAGATACCTTCTGCGGACAAGCTACAAAGATGTATATGGCACTATTTTTCAGTGACTTTGATATTCAAATTCTCTTAATTACAGTTTGATTACTTGCCCTCTACTTAATTGCTCAGTTCCTGAAGGAGCATTGAATTCTCCCACAATGGTGTGGTCCCTTGGTTTCTCTTCCTACTACTTAACAGTTTTTGTTTGTATACATACTGATGCTTGCTTGTTCCCAGTAAATGGGTTATTGTCTTTTTGGTGGGTTAAAAATAATATCAAAACAAATGTTCCTCTCTTCTCCCATTTAATGGTCTTTAACTTCAATCCAATTTTCTTGAAGAATATTGTCCTTTTTGCTCCCCATTCTTTATTTTCAATCTTTCTGTGTAATCTTAATGTATGACTCTCTCTTAGTAACCAAACTATAATACTTTCCAACTCTGGCATTTCTCATGAATACTTACATATTTGGACCTATTCTAGCCATCTTATTTTAAGTTTTCTATTTTCAATGATTTCTTCTTTCTTTTTTGTTTCCTTTCCTGTTTTTCATTGGATCAGTGTTTTCAAATTATCTTATACTGGTTATTAATGTTATATACTTTCTGCCCACTGTTTATTTGAAATAATCTGGGGTTTTCATCTAAAAAATGTTTTAAACTTAAGCTTCTCCTCTTTTAGGGATTCTTAATAGCATAAGCTTTACAAATAGTCAAACAATCAGTTATTTAGATTTATCTATGAGTTTTACTCTCATTTTTGCACACATTTATTTACTCCCATCCCATCTTGTATTTAGAATTTCTTTTTCATCTTTGGTAAAACACCAGTAAGACAGGATGGGTGAAAAGTAAACTTTGAACCCTCATGTGTTTGGAAATGCCTTTCTTTTGCACTCAAACTAAAATACACAATTTCAGATGCGAGAAAACTGTCTGCCATAATTTACCCTGCCTGACCAAAAAAATGCATCCTTTCAACTGTAATAATCTAGTCTTTCTTTAATGCAGGGAAATTTCCCTCTTTTATTTAATTATTTAAGTCCCCTGCTTTGTGACTGTTCTTTCTTTCTAAATCCCTATTAGATACAACCAAAAATCTACATCAATTATCCAAGTTCCTTAACTTTCCATTCATATTTTCCATCTCTTTGTGTCTTCACTCTATATTTTGGGATATATATTTGATTTTGTCTTCTTGATCACAGAATGATATGCCATTTTATCTATTTAATCTTTGAATTAAATTTCTCTATTATGGTAGTCATAAATTTCCAAGAAAGCAATGTTTATCTTTGATTTCTATCCTTCTGTGGCTTGCTTCCTTCCTTTTCCTCCTTACCACATTTTTTTAAATTGTGAATATAGTATACATAAAGAAAATAATAAATAAAACCTATATGTACAACTTCACCAGGCAAACAAAACTAAATAGCACCAGCATGCCAGAAGCTCCAAAACAACTTCTTTCCTCTCCACTCAGGAAAACATTATCATGACATTTATGATAATCATTTCCATGTCTTTCCTTCATGTTTTTGCTTCTTTGTACTTTTTAACTTAATAAACTTTATTTCTTAGAGCAGTTTTGTATTTACAGATAAATTGAGCAGAAAGTACAGAGTTCCCATATATCCCTTCACACAGAAATTCATGCAGATTCCCTTATTATAACATCTTGCATTAGTGCGGTAACATTTGGTACAGCTGATGAACCAACACTGACACACTGTTATTAACTGAAGTCCATAGTTTACATTAGAGTTTACTCTTTGTGTTATATAATCTACAGGTTTTAACATATGTATAATGACATATTCCACCATTACAATATTGTAGAGAATAGTTTCACTGCTCTAAAAATTCCCTGTCTTCCACTTATTCATCCCTCCATCCCTCTCCCAAATCCTGGCAACCCTGATCTTTTTACTGTCTCCATAATTTTGCCTCTTCCAGAATGTCATATAGTTGGAATCATATGAGTATATAGCCTTCTCAGATTGGGTTCTTTTACTTAGCAATATGCATTTAACTTTCCTCCACGTCTTTTTGTGGATTGATAGACCATTTCTTTTTTGCCACTGAATAAATATTCAATTATAAGAATGTACCAGAGTTTATCCATTCACCTGCTAAAGGACATCTTGGTTGCTTCCAGGTTTTGGCTATTATGAATAAGCTGTTATAAACATGAGTGGGCAGGTTTCTGTGTTAACATAAGTTTTCAACTCATTTGGCAAATACCTAGAGTGTACTTGCTGGATCATATAGTAAGAGTATGTTTCATTTTGTAGAAACTGCCAAACTCTATTCTAAGCTGGCTGTACCATTTTCCATTCCCATCAACAATGAGAGTTCCTGCTGTTCCACATTCTCTTCAGCATTTGGTGTTGTCAGTATTTTAGCCATTCTAATGGGTGTGTGGTGGTAGCTCATTGTTGTTTAATTTGTAATTCCCTGAGGACATATGTTGTTGAGCATCTTTTGTATACTTTCCTGCCATTTGAATATCTTCTTTGGTGAGGTATCTGTTCAGAACTTTTGCCTGTTTTTTAATTGGGCCCGTTTTTAAATTTTTTTCTTACTGTTGAGTGTTAAGAGTTCTCTATATATTTTCAGTACCAGACCTTTATCACATATGCCTGTCAGTTCATTCTCTTAATTTCATTGCTTTGTAACCATCTAAATACTCAGTCTTACTCAATATTTTCTTTCTCAATATGATGTAAGTGGAAAAAATCTGTATGTATAAATTTCTGTCTTGCTTTTATAATTCAACATTATACTTGTGAAATTCATCCATGCTACTGTATATAGCTATAGTGTGGGCATTTTCATGCTGTATAATATTCCATGTTAGGAGTTTAACCCAGATTGTTCATTTTATTACCAATGGACATTTAAGTCATTTCTAATTTTGAAAATTCAACAATGCTGGAATGAATATTCTTGCATGTGTATTATGGTGCATTAGGGCAAGCTTCTCAAGGGAATATAGTTAGGAGAAGTATTTCTGGTTCATGAGGATCTTCGATTTTAAAAGATGATGCTAATTTTTTTCAAAGGGGTTCTGAATACTTTATATCCTTATCAACATTTGTGTTATTAATTCTTACATAATGTTATCTCATTTGGTTTTAATTTGCATTTCAATGATGCACTAAAGTTGAGCATCTTTCACATGTTTCTCAGCCAAGTGAATTCCTTCCTTAGTGAAGTATCTGTTTAAATCTTTTGCTTGTTTTTTCTATTGTCTGTCTCTATTGTCATGATGAATAGTGAAATTTTTGTATGTTTTATGTTAGTTCTTTGCTGATATTGTGTTGAAAACATCATTTCTCATCATATAGCTTATTTTATCTACTATCTTTCATTTTTTTGTTTTTTCTTACAGCTTTAACGCAGCTTAATATTTAATGTATGAATCTTTTCCTTTCTGGTTAGTGCCTTTGGTATTTTAGTTAGGAATTCCTTCCCTAACCTGAATCATAAAGATATTCTCTTATACTATCTTCTGAAAGATTTATGGCCTTACATTTTGATATTTTATCAATCTGAAACTCATTTTTTGGTATATTATTTCCCCCATACTGATACTCAACTGTCCCATTACTATTCATTGAAATGTCTGTCCTCTACCCACTGACCTGCAATACTATCTCTTTTATAAATATCAAAGATCTTTTTTGGAGGCCCTATATTCTGTTTCATTATTTATCCAATGACGGTACCGGAGTGTCTGGTACTCATTTAATAAGATTTCTAAATTAAGTCTTGATATCCAGTAGAGAAAACCCACCTACCTTATCTCAGTCTTAAGGAGTCTCTTAGCTGTTCCTGGCTTTTGTACTGGCTTAAGACCATAATTCAAAAAGAGTCACGTACCAAAATGTTCATTGCAGCTCTATTTACAATAGCCAGGACATGGAAACAACCTAAATGTCCATGATCGGATGAATGGATAAAGAAGATGTGGCACATATATACAATGGAATATCACTCAACCATAAAAAGAAACGAAATTGAGTTATCTGTAGTGAGGTGGAAGGACCTAGAGTCTGTCATACAGAGTGAAGTAGGTCAGAAAGAGAAAGACAAATACCGTATGCTAACACATATATATGGAATCTAAGGGAAAAAAAAATGTCCTGAAGAACCTAGGGGTAAGACAGGAATAAAGACACAGACCTACTAGAGAATGCACTTGAGGATATGGGGAGAGGGAAGGGTAATCAGAAAGAGAAAGACAAATACCGTATGCTAACACATATATATGGAATCTAAGGGAAAAAAAAATGTCCTGAAGAACCTAGGGGTAAGACAGGAATAAA